GGGAAGCTGCTTCGTGCTCCGTGCCTCCTCCTGTTTCTCTGTCGAGCCTATAGGTCTAACAAGAGTAAGTATTCTAATAGGTGAATTTTTGTCAAATTTAAAAGTAGATGAACAGACGTACCCCACGAGCATCAGTTTTCTCAAGTGCTTGGTTCGTGAAGCAGCACCGCGCTTCAATCTTGCGGAGCGTTTCTTTTTCACTAGGGCGATAAAAAATCTGAAAACGACAAGCAGGTCGTGGGCTTTACAGTCCTCTGAGTGAGAAGGGGAACGTGCTGGTTCTGTCTTTTCTCTTGTTAAATTGGGAAGCAGTTAGTCAAATCCCTTCGCCAGAGGGAGCCAGCGATGCTGTTGGGGGTTTGCATTTGAAACGATAGGACAGGTCAACCGGCATCATGAACGTCTTTGTTGTGAAATGGAAATTGCTGCTTAGACTGGACGCGCTGTCCAGTTTGGGATCTCTGTTGCGCTCCCTGTATGAGAAACGTTAAAAAGAAACTAACGGTCAGCGCTCAGTTCTCCCCAGGTACTCTGGTCGTAGCCGACTTGGCCTCAGGATACTGATGGTGTCAGGACAGACGACGATAGGCGTAAATGGAATAGCCCAGAATAGCCAAAACATGAAGGATTCGTCACTTGCAATGTTTGAACCAAAAGCTTCTTTTACTACCTCGAGTCCTGCTGCCAAGCGCTTCAGGTGAGCCAGTGAACTGCGGGGCGGCTCCGCGTGGTGGGAGCCCTGGCAGCGCCCTAAGCTGCGCCTTGCATTGCGAGATTCTGCCTTTTTCTGCCCCAAAATCATCACCAGGTGGAGGAAGTGGCTCGGTTGCGAGATGCCTGATCAGCATCAGGGGGCGGGTGGGGAGAAAACTCCAGCTCGTTATTAGAAAGGAACAGAAGCTGGTTATGGCATTGGATTTCTTGGCTCATATTTTAGCACATCGGCCAAATGCAAAATCTTAAATGTTGTGAGCAGGAAAAAGAATAAGCAGCAGTAGATTTATTTTATTTTATTTTATTTTCCGTGGCAGAATAGGATTTTATTCTGGCTGAAGAGTGTTTATGTGTCTCTGAAAGGCAGCAGCTGACGTTTTGGTCAGGGTATGACGGACACAAATGGGGCAGAAATTTGAGCTTGTGGTGGTGGTTGTTCTTGGTTTTCAACACAAGAGCAATCCTCTTCCGTAACAGAGACACTTAAGAATGTTTCCTGTAAGGAAAATGGTTTCAGGTCAGCGCTTTGGCTCTGGTGAACATTTTACTGTATTACTGAACTAAGTCAAGAATTCTTTTCAACTTGTGTATTACATTTTACACGCACTACCTCGGAAACGTGACACCACCTTTAAAACCACAGAGAAAAATGTGAATTTAAACTTTTTTTTTTTTCCCCAAGTTTTCTAGGCAATAAATTATTTTCCAACACGCATCCTTCAATTTTGTGCTTGGTTTTTAGTGGAGCGCGAGGCGTTCGCTTTCTTTTTTCGTTTTAGTGCTGATAAAGATGTGGCATTAGGGAGAAAAGGCGAGCGCATGTTAACGATAGTAAATATTTCTATTAATGCTGCAGGATGTTGTAGCAAATGAGCTGGCTGTGCTGTTTGTGGTGCGGTTACTGTGAGGAATGGATCTTATCCTTTATTCCGGTACTAAATGATCGTTGTAACATTTCTTAACACATCCCAGATTAATTTATCAGAACAGGCGACGAGTCTCAGCAGTGTAATGGGACAGAATTTTACATTTTCTGGGCC